AGTTACTGCTCGTGCAGTCGTAGACCATCTCCCGGTTGTTCTTCATTCCCAGATAATCGTCACAATTGTCACACCCGTCGAACTCGAACTGATCGAACGACTGCACCCACACAGACCACACACACACACAGCCAATCAGACAACAGTTAGAGTTAGAGTCACACAATCAACGCATCAATCAATACATACCTTAATGAGTGAACAGAGAAGACATGCTCTCAAATGTCTTAAGTCTCGGGGAATCGACTCAACGGCCATCGCAGTCAATGACAGTCACTAGCGGTCGGCTGACAGGCAATCACGACAACGATGTGTCCAAAGATGTGTCCAAACGATGTCTACAATCCTATAAGCATTCAAATGATGACAATTACATGACATGACAATCACATTAAATCATATCATACTTAATACTAATCACTAATACAGTGGTAATAGTGATACTAAATTAGTATTACTAATCATCAAAACAATGTGATTGAGTCTCCATTTTATACATCAATTACGTCCGTAACAACCTTAATATATATAATACAGTACAACTTCTCTTGGATGAACTCTCCCTATAATGAACACTTTTGTCGTCAAACTGGCCGTTCATTATAGGGAAGTTGTATTCTTATAATTTATTGTACATGTATATGTATTCTGATCGTCTTAATGGATTTAGTGCTCAACTGTCCTATTGATAAATTAAAAGTTTGTATATTTAATAAATACAATAAATAGTAACAATTGCGTTAATTAGTAACAAGTAATTAGCAATGTAATGAAGAAACAAATCATGTTTTGATCTTATTATTTTAATATTAACCTTGAACTATACTTAAAAATTAGTTTTTAAAATATTTTTAGTTAATAAAAATTAGTTAAACTAAACCCTATTACATAAATTACGCTACGGTTTGTTTATGGGTAATAAAATCATACCAAATACAGTACCGGTATATTAATATTATTAATTGAATAATACTAAATTAATATTACCGTTAGTTAACAATATTATGTTTGTTGTAATAATAAGTATTACTGTTATATGAAAGGCATAATAGAGTTAGAAATGAATGCCAATAGTGTTGAGACAAGTGGTGATGTGATGCGGATGTGATGCAGGCCTACACCGAGTCTTTGACTGATCCGATGGATGCGATGGTGACATCACTGGCGCGACAAATGTCTCGACCGGAGAACCAGATGAATGGTCTGTCGTGGAGACGCCTCCACCTGTCGAGGGCTAAA